AACCAGGCCTAGGGGTAGCGTTCCTTTGTGAGTGCCTGGTGGCTGGGTTACCTGTGCTGGTAACCCAGCCGGGCTCAGCCCAAACAGGCAACATAGGGGGACCGTGTGGGCCCACCACCCGCAAGGTTTAGCATAGAGGACAGGTACAGTGCCTTATAGGCAGTGGGAGATGGCAAGAAGGCCCTGGTGGACTTCAGGAGGTCCAAACCTGCCTTGTCACCAGACACTATTGATGGTGTTGATGTGGAGGTGGTCAAGACCTACAAATATCTGGGTGTGCACTTGGACAACAAGCTGGACTGGAGCTGTAACACTCTCGTGGTGTACAAGAGAGGCCAAAGCTGTCTCTACTTCCTGCTGAGGTGTTTTGGTGTGTGCACTAAGCTCCTATGGACATTCTACCAGTTTGTTGCAGCGAGTGCTCTATTCTATGCTGTTGTGTGCTGGGGCAGCAGCATTAACAAAAGTGCTCTGAACAAAATAAACAAAAAAACTTATTAGGAAGGCTGGCTCTGTTGTAGGAGTCAAGCTGGAGTCTTTGGAGGTTGTGGCAGAACAGAGGACGCTCAGCAAGCTGTTAGTCATCTTGGACAACACCTCACACCCTCTGCATGCTACACTAGATAAACAGAGAAGCACATTCAGTGGCCGTCTATTACAGCTGTGCTGTGTTAAAGAGCGCCGTGTGAGATCATTCTTACCCACTGATATACAGCTCTACAACGAGTCTCCTTACTGCAGAGACGGTACTGTTGTCTGGGATTCTTTGCTTTTCCTACTGATACAGCAACTCTAGCTTAATCAAGCGTTGTATGAAGATGAATGAATGATTTTAAACTGTATGTGAACTGAAGATTTATTGTAAACATATATACAATTCAGTTTACTGCAGCTCGACAAACAGTCCACAGAATTAATACTGTCACATTTTCTATTAATGCTGCTTTTATAGCATTTATTATTTGGTTATATTGGTATGTTTTTTTCTTTTTAATTTCTACTTTGTTCTAAACTAAAACCCCAGAACAGAAACCCACCTATGAGACACTCAGAGATCCGTCTAGTGGCGATAACATCATCATAGTTATCTGCTATGTTGTCTTTTTCTGCTTCACCTAAATCAAATAAAAGCAGACTGACTTTACAAAAGGTGCAGCCATATTTTCACATAATATAAAGTTAAAATCATGGGATTTAATTAACAAAGGAACCCACTTATCAGACCACTAGTGGTGACATCATCATAATATTCTGATTTCACTCCAGGCAGAGACTTTGCTGTAAAAAGAGCATAACTTTTAATTACATTTAAAAATAAAATACTCATTCAGAGGGGTTTTAATGTAATAATAACAATTCTAGAATTCAGTCTTCGGTGTGTGACTCCATTAAGATTATGCAAGAAATAATTTCTGACAAACATCTCATCTAGAGAGTCAGTATTAAGGAGAAGTTGAGAACAGTTAAAGAGAATCTAAAACAGTAAAGATCAGCAAAATTTCCAAGAAAATCATATGAAGCAACCTGGATAGAGGATTACTGTACAAAACATTACTGTACAAAACATGAATTTATAATGAATTTTTAAATTTCTAATGGCGACTGTAATATTTGTCAGTAATATAGTCTGGTAACATAGTTTTAGGTCTTCTTACCTGAGAGAAGCTCCTCATCCACATCCTCATATCCTGAATGTTGTTCTTCAGATAGGATACTTCCTGTTAGAGGAGAGCAGAACTCTGGCATTTACCTGTGTGTAGCCAACATGTGTAGCACAGTGAAAGCACTACAAAATGTAGTAAAAATTCCATCTGATTTTGTGGGGATTTGTGTGTCTGTGTAATTTTACTGTCGATGCTTTTCAATCCGAAATTCATCACAGCCATTTAAAGCCCACACCAGCTCAATTAATGTATTTAGGGGCAATCAGACAATGTGGCCAAAAGTACAACTAACTGTATTTGTAATTTGAATGGGTGTCTGACCATTTTCTCCTCTTCTTCCTCTTTTTTCATAAAGCATCACCAGGGTTGCTCACCAATTAAGATAAGGGCTATGTTCACATTGCAAGCTTCCACAGCCCCAGATTTTTGTTAGATCATTCTACATTTCTCTGTTAGTTTTACTGTAGCTGAAGAAACATGGATTTATAATGGATACTTTAACTTCTAAATTGTAGACTGCCACACGTGCTCTTACCTGAGAGGACCTCCTCATCCACCTCCTCATATCCTGAATGCTGTGCTTCAGAGAGGAGACTTCCTGTTAGAGGAGAGCAGAACTCTGTCATGCTGCATGACACTAAGATCTGCTTGAACTAGACACCTGGCATCTTTTCTTCGCTGCGAGTTCATTAAGACTTGGGCTTAATTTTTGATTAAAGGCCGTGGGCCTTGTGTTTGACAAATGGGCCTTGCTGAAAAAAAATGGATGTATACAGGATAGCTGGACAGCATTTTATTTCAATTAGCTTTTCAACACAAAAACAACCTTTTCAGCTACTCACTAGGTTTTAGCAGAGTAACAGTACTGCAGTTTTACTTTATTCTTTTTCAGTTTTATTAAATGTAATTGTGCACATTGCGTATGCTGAAGAATATCAGCCAGAGACCAGCCTCAGTGTTTATACTGGGTGAGTGCCAAATCTTTATTTGTACACTGGTGGAAAAGAACATTTTTGTATTTAAAAAAAAATAAATGAATGGTGTGCGTGATAACATTTAGCTGAAACATGTGTTGATATGAACTGGAGTGGAGGCTAATATTGGCTAGCTATCGGCACCTATTGTATTAAGTCATTTTGTGGAGAGGCACTGGCCGAATGGTGAGTGGCTAACTCCCATTCACAGACACTGACAGGAAAAGACCAATAGTCTTTTCCTGCATCTACCCTAGGGGACAGCAGTGATAATGAGATGGTCAAAAAGGCTGTACTAAGAGTATCTGAAGAGGCTCTGAAGCAGCTGATACTCCCTGAACAATTTAAAAACAGCAGTTAGAGGTTCAACTAAATGACCATATGACAGTAACTGCTTTAAAAGCTACAGAATTAGCTGATGACTGTGTGCTGGTACATAGGTGGCCATGGCGAGACAAGCCTAAAAGCAGCATCAGGGAGCTTTTCTATAGATGGAAAAAAGTGATACATGATGTATCATGTATGATGGAATAATCTTCATCCTTGATTAAGATTAACATTGTTATTAGGCGATCCAGATTACACAGTGAACTATAAAACTTTAAAATGTTTAATTTATACATATCTCTGAAGTAAAACACAGAGAAAAGTATGATAGTGATAGTATAATGTCAATGAGAAAGCTATGATTTGAGCTTAGTGGTCAGGAGCAGTCAATCTTAACTGAAAAAGCAGTTCACACCAAACCTCCTTTGGGCAATTTCTGCAAATTACCATAAAATAATTCCCTTAGGGAAGAATTTTTACACGTCTTTATTTCTTAATTGAGTCCACAATGTAAATGTAGCTCCACAGCCAGGCATTTAGGCTAAAAAATGTGATACGACTATCTGTAAAGGCACTTGCAGTGAACATACATTAGTATTTAGTAACACATCACTGGAAAACTGAGTCTTTACAACCTCAAAGAAAGCTTGCTGTATTACCTCCCTCATACACTGTAGTAGTAAGTCAGGGTTACAGCTTATAGTGTATTAAGCCCCTCTGACATCTGAACATTCTAGAGTGGGTGTGGCTAAAACTCAAAACTTATATGGATGGAATAGATGTATGTCTTTAACAATGGCAATAAGTCTTCACTGGGATTTTTTCTCTCCATTGGAAGGGCTCTTAATTGTATTTTATTACTTGGAAGAGCATCTTCTTCATGAGTTTTTTCATTAGAAAGGCACCTGTAGGGAACGCCATTATGAGGGCCACTGTATAGCACCACATTACATTTTCTCCACTGGAGGGGCATCCATAAGGAAACTCCCCACACTTTATCATACATGTAGGGACAACCTTTACAGCTCTGCACCACATTTTATCCACTGGAGGGTCCCTTCTCTATTAGATGAGCACCTAATTAGGCACTTCTTCATGTTTACTCACCTGTAGGAGTGCCCTATACAGCACTGCATCCCATTTTCTCTACTAGAAAGGGCATCCATTAGTTAGCTAGCTCCTTAGCTAGGCCCACAAATAAAGAATGCACATGAATTGTCATTGATCAAATGAATGCAATTTATCTTACATTATAAGTATAAATACACCACAATAAGTCTCATGTAGAACACTCACCCCTTTGAGTGGCTCTTGCAGTATTGAATCTGCAGTAAATCTCCTCATAGACTCTCTCAGTGCCCCTACTTAAGCCTTCATAGACTCCCTCAAGCCCTCTTCTAAGGCCTTCATAGACTATGTTCTCCATCCTCTTAGAGAGCCCTGTGAAGGAGACAAAGATATACATTAAGCCAGTTCAGTAGAAGAGAAGACTGATAACAGATTGAAGGACTAACGATGTTTAGAGAATGTACAGAAAGTGGATCTCTGAATCTCTCTACCTCTCCTGAGCACTCTGTTCTGGTAAAACAGCACAACCAGAAGCACTAAGGCCAGAAAGAGCACTGCTCCCAGAACCAGGAGAGACACTGGATAGATGGATGGAACAGCAGAAATTGGAAGAGCTTGTAGAAGAATGTTTGTTGTCTTCACTGTCTGACCAACTAAAAGTACAAATACAGAACAGAAACTGTGCAGAGCTCTGAACAATCTATTCAGAAACATGTATCAAAATCTGTCTTTATCTGTCTAAGAGACATAAAAAATACCTGTGGTGTTGGAGGTGGTGGCTGTTATAAGTGGAGTAGTAGAAATGCCTGTAAATACAGAAACAGCAGTTCTGATTCTGATATGTAGAACACTTTAAGCACTGAATATGGCAAATTAACATTAGATAATATGAACAAAAGTCCATTAATGCACCATTTACTGAAACCTTCCAGATTTTAAAACTGTGATAAAATATTTTTAATTGGAGTCAGAAATCTAGCAGGATCATCTGACCTGCACAGGTGACTCCAGTGTCCTGACTGTGGGAGCAGTCAGTGTGGTTCTTCAGGGAATGAGGACAGTCCCACAGGTGAATCTCATTCCCTCTACACTTCACTCTGTTCAGCCAGATAGGCCCTTCACCAGCACCAAAGACAGCACTCCCATCAGCACTCAGCGCCGGCCCGCAGCCCAGCTGCCTGCAGACAACCTGAGCATCCATGATGTCCCACAGACCATCACAGACGGATCCCCACTCAGCGTTACGATACACCTCCAGCCTCCCAGAGCAGATTCCATTTCCTCCTCTCAGCCTGAGAGGCAGGTGCTCTACATCACACATGAGGAGATACAGCAATGCTGATCAACCAGGATAGTTACAGAACTAATAACAATACAGCTATTAAGTGTAATTGAGGTTTTCACTATTTATACATTACCAGTAATAGTTCTATGAAGGTACTACTTTTCTAACACTTGTGATTAACACATTACGTAATTAAATATTGACCTTATTTATTTGCAAGAGTTCTTACTTGAGCACTGTCTGTGATGGGGAGATGAGGAGCATTTCAGATGGCTTCGTAATACACGATCATTTTCATCTTCTATGAATACAGAAAGATAACTCATTAAGCGTTGAACATCTAAAGTTGTTTTTCTATAATCCTATATATTATTATTTATTTTAGATTTCTATATGTATATTTTATTAACCTATTTAAGCCAGTTTTATGCTTCGTGTGATTTATTGTCAGCACAAAAATGTATACGCACTCTACTTATATGAACATAAAAACTGCCTACCTGAGCAGGTAATCCAGGCCACCTCGTTGTCTTTATCACAGTTGTTCTGTCTCCAGGGTGAAGATGGACAATGCCACAGAATGGAGTCATGTCTCCTACATTTCAGATCATCTAGCCAGTTAGGAGCTGATTCCACTCTTGCTTTGGCCCAAGACTCACTGCCAGATCTTCCACAGTTCAGCTCTTGACAGATTAAACTCACTGTTTCTCCATCCATCCCATTTAAACACACATTACCCCAGGTTCCATTGTAGAACACTTCCAGATTCCCCTCACAGCCCTCAGTGAGTCTGATCTCTTTAAACTCTGGTGGGAAAAGAACTTATACTAAACTTTGCTTTTAAATGAGCATGTTTTAGGAAGTTCATACAATAAAAAATGAAATATTTAACATCCCCTCAAAAAGATAATGAAACTCCACTGCTTGTACAGACATTAACTTCCTTAAAAGCACGGTTCCATGCAAATTCGAATCTACACAGTTTTACCCCAAAGATAGTCAATCAGCTTAGATATATCTGATGTCTATACAGCTGGCTTTACAGTGTGTGATTACAGTGGTCTTATACGTCTACTTCATGTCACACTGCATGAGATGCTGCAAATAACAGCTAATCTCCATGTCAGACTGTGTAAATTCAGTTTTGCTGCGCATCAGATTACATCTTAAAAATTTTCTGGTGATTTACAATGCAAGAAAATTATGACATTCTGCATGAACTTTCTATTTTGGCAAAATGTAGAACCACACAAGCAAGAGTATCATCATGAGGATTACAGTACAGTGCCTTAAGTTTGCTTCCTAAGCTTTGCACTGGAGTTATGAGACTAATGTAGTCAGGCCCATGCGTAGACAATTTGAGAGTCAATAGAAACAAGAGTTCAAACTGAACATATATATATTTTTTTTTTATTTAAAAAAAACTTGCTTTAGTGCATTTGCGGCATTATGTGTAGTTATTTTTAAAAATAAACACGTTTAGGGCTCAGTATAACACAGTGTGGTTCTTTTGTAAAGAGATTCTTAGTGCAAACATGTCTGGGCTGACTGACTACATTTCTATTAAGAGGAAAACTGTGTTAATTTGATTTTTCAGTGAACCATTCCTTTAAAATCATCATACCTGAGCAGATGACTCCTACGTCCTCCTTGTGTCCACATTCATCCTCTCCACACAGCTGAAATCTGCAGTTCCACAGGGACGTCTCGTTCCCATCACACTCCACCTCATTCAGCCATATGGGTCCAGTTCCTGGTCCAAACTGAGCTGGTACCAGAGCCCTGAGGGCCACTCCACACTGCAGCTGTCTGCACACCACCTGCGCATCCTCAATATCCCACATGTCACCACACACTGTCCCCCATGAGCCGCTGTGGAAAACCTCCAGCCGTCCTGCACAGTCTCCCCCAGAACCAACCAGCCTGATGGAGCTGTGAGCTGATTTAAACTTACCTACACACAGACAGACAAACACATACATAAACACGCATTACAGCTGTGGCTCATTCCTTGGACATCTACATAAAGAAGAAAGTTAATCTTTTGACTGTGAAATGAACAATAAATACTGCAATATATTTTTGGGAAGATTATTTTAAGAATATTCTTAGCCTCTTTTGATATTTAGCTGCTGTCTATCTTACCAGAGCAGGTGATGGAGAGCTGTTCTCTGGAGCTGCAGTTGACTGTTTCTGCATTGCTGCAGTTCCCCAGATGAGCTTCACTCCCAGTACAATTGAAACCCGTCACACACATGTGTCTGTGTTCAGGACTGGATGTAAAGGAGCTGGAGAAGCTGATCGCAGAGCCACAGCCCAGCTGTCTGCAGACCACAGACGCCTCGGACTCACTCCAGGAGTCCAGCAGAACTCTTGTCCAGTCCTGCCTGAAGTACACCTCCAGCTCCCCCTCACACTCCATCCCTCCAGACAACCGCACTCTCCCTTCGTGAAATGCCAGAGAGGAACCTGAAGAAGAAAAAATATCACTTAACTAAAAACCTTACACAGGCATTTCTGAGATAGACTACACAATTCGTAGATCTCACCACTGCAGATGACTCCAGCATCCTGTTTGTGAGAGCATGCAGTTCGACTCCATGATGAAATGGGACATTTTGACAGGTGTGTTTCGTTCCCCTGACAATCAAACACATCAGCCCAGATCTGGCCAATCCCCTCCCCAAACCAGTCTGACCCCAACACAGCCACAGCACTCCCACACTTCAGCTGACCACAGAGGACACTGGCAGCTCTCATATCCCAGCTTACATCACACACTGTTCCCCACTCATTGAGGTACTGGAGCTCCACTCGACCAGAACAGGAGTCAGAGCCGTTCGCCAGTCGAGCCCCTGTGTGACCTGAATGAACATGACATTACAGGAATTAACATGAATAAGAGCAGTTCAGTGCCATGTTGTAACAAACAGTGGAGTTGAACTCAATTAAAAATGAACGCTTTACCTGCACACACCAGGCCCACATCACTGTCATGAGTGCAGTTATGTGAAAGTGATGTTGGACAGAAGGAAATCTGAAATTCGTTGCCTCTACACTGAAGCTCCTCTGACCACACCTGACCCTCCCCTCTGCCAAAAGCAGCTGCTCTTAGCACCTTCACAGGAAGCCCACAGCCCAGCTCTCGACACACAACCTCTGCATCCTGCTGGTCAAAGTCAGCATCACACACTGTGGACCAGGTCTTTGCATTAAGCACTTCCACTCTCCCAGAGCACAGATGGAAACCACCAGTAAGTCTGGATTTTCTGTGACCTGTGGAATTGGAAGGTCATTAACACTGTGCACAGTACAAGAAAAAGTAGCAGCTAGTAGCTGATAGAGGATATTTGACTAAAACATTTAGATGGAATCAGTGGTATAGTTGTCCTGATGGTCTAAATAATAAAAACTGACTGATTGATGTGAAAGATTAGTTTTCTTGATGACATTTTATTCATATGAAGCAAGAGGCCTATAAAAACAAGCACACACACTCAGAATAGGTAGCTGGGGTCTTTTCTACATACTGTCAGTTTTACATACTGCCTGATTTTCATTCAAAATAACTGGCCAGAAGCTGCAATCAAAAACAAATGAGCTCAGTGTGTTGAAAGGAGTGGTGGGCAGTGTCCTGCTATTGGTCTGGAGACTAGCCAAGAACTAGTCAAGAAACCAGTCAAGAATCTTTAACTGATTATTTAAAAAATATGCTACTTTGTTATTTCACAACTAATATTTTCATTTCTTTCACGTTTTCTACAATTACTCTTATGTTCTCCATTTGAGAGCCAGTAATGTAAAAGATCGAAGTTAATAACACTCAAAATCTTTAGAAAATGAATCTGATATTCTGGTAATGATGATATTAGGCATTTGTTCATTTGTAGTGGTGATGACTGATTACAGCTCACCTGAGCAGATGACTCCAGCATCTTCACCATGATTACAGTTATGTTTACCCCATCCTGCTGATTTACAGTTCTTCAGTGTAGACTCTGATCCACTACAGTCCACTTCATTCATCCAGATTTGTCCTGATCCTGGTCCAAAGTGAGCTTTATTCAGTGCATCTACAGCATCTCCACAGCCCAGCTCTCTACACACCACTGCAGCATCTCTCACATCCCACTCATCATCACACACTGTTCCCCACTGATCATCATGAAGAACCTCCACTCTCCCAGCACAGCGACTGCCACCATCCACCAACCTCACAATGTCTGTACAACAACATGAGAAAGAGATTCCACAGTCAAAAGTAATTTTAGAGTAATTTTTTTACAAATCACAATAACACTTAATTAGAAAATAGTATTATTTACATCAATGATAATTTAGAAATCAGAATAACATGTTTAGTTTTACTTGGGCTTGAAATGTTGAAAACAATTGTGATGCACTTCAAGAAAATACATTTTATACTTAAAATACAGCATACACATTTTAATATTTACTTAAATTAAAGCTTTTAAAGTAATCTGAAAACATTGTGTTACAGTAAATCAGTCACAGAGATGTAATCTTACTGAAGGCTACAAATGTACTACTTACCAGCACACACCAGTCCCACATCACTGTCATGAGTGCAGTTGTGTTTGAGTGAAGGTGATGTTGGACAGAAGTGAATCTGAGATTCGTTGCCTCTACACTGAAGATCCTCTGACCACACCTGACCCTCCCCTCTGCCAAAAGCAGCTGCTGCCAGCACCTCCACAGGAAGCCCACAGCCCAGCTCTCGACACACAACCTCTGCATCCTGCTGGTCAAAGCCAGCATCACACACTGTGGACCAGGTCTCTCCATGAAGCACCTCCACTCTCCCAGAGCAGCGTGAATCACCAAGTAGCTTGACTTCTGATATAATGTTGTTGAAACATAATGATTTTATAAAAATTACAGTTCAGCTTTTTACCAGATACAAAATTATTAATTTCATAACTTGGCCATGAGAGCATGCATGTCTCTGAAGAGAAAAGTACAAATAATCAAGTTTGAAAGATAAAAAAGGCAAAATTATTTATTATTAATGAACTTAATGATTATTTTACCAAAATTAAAAGCTATGAAAAGAAATGTGAATGGCAAATTTTTATCTCATTTAATAGAAAACTACAGTTTAGAAAAACATACCTGAACAAATGACCCCAGCATCATTAGAATGAACACAATCATTTCTACTCCATCCTGGCGATTTACAGTTTTTCACTGTGGCCTCTGATCCATTACAGTCTACATCATCCATCCAGATTGGTCCTGATCCTGGTCCAAAGTGAGCATCACTCAGTGCAGCTACAGCGTCTCCACAGCCCAGCTCTCTACACACCACTGCAGCATCTCTCATATCCCAGTTATCATCGCACACTGTTCCCCACTGTCCTCTATGAAGAACCTCCA